ATATAGTATGTAATATAGTATATTATATTATTCAATTATTATTCAATATTATGATTGTCATTAGCAATATACTCTAAGCTGCCTTTAAAGCATGGCAAAACCTCTCCCGAAACACGTTGCCCAGAGCCAACTGCAAGATTTTTTGGGTGCGGCCGCAATTTGGAAGTTGCTCATCAAAGAGATTTTGGCTTGAGGGCTTCTCCTCTACCTGTGATTGGGACAGGCGCACAAAAGAAAAGCTAAATATTTCGAAATTGCTCCACGTACACCATTAACCCAGCCAAAACTGTGGGGCCGCAGGCACCAGGTACTGCGGGTTAGATGTGCCGGGCTGGGGACCACGAGACAAATCACTGCTAGCCAAAATTAATACCCAGGGGAAAGGTAGGGACGTTGTAAGGAGAGGCCGGCGTAGCCCATTCCTGCAGCAACACGCCCTGGAGAAAGGCCAAATAATTTTCATACCTGGGTCCCCCCCTTTATCTCGGTAAACAGCAACGGAGCAAAGAGTCAAGGTCGGGAAGCGGGAGTCTGCTGGAGTTCATGCGATGGCCAGGAGCGTTTTGGCGATGGGAAACAGTGATGCTCTTGTGCCAAGACAGTGACTTCTCGCTGTCTGGATGCCAGAAAAATAATCCTATTTATGTAACTCGAAGCGAAGCATTTCAGCGCATGAATATTCAGCTCTTCTTGCAAATAGGAAGCTCTTATACCTGCAGGATTGAACTCTCAAGCTGTCATCTCAGCCCATTGTGGCCAACGATGGGGGATTTTTTGGATAGCAGAAGGTTTTATTGTTTCTCGGTGAGCATGTGCTTTTCCTGGCATTCATATTTCGTGTTTCTTTGGTCTCTCTAGGCAGTGGACCCATCCAGCTGTGGCAATTCCTGCGGGAGCTGCTCACTGACAAGTCCTGCCAGTCCTTCATCAGCTGGACGGGCGATGGCTGGGAATTCAAGCTTTCCGACCCAGACGAGGTAAGGCACCCCAAAATTCAGCGCACAGCCCAAAAGCTGCTGAAATATTGGTGTGGATAACCCTCCCCTCCTCTCTTCAGGGCTGAGATTTGGGCAGTCGCGGCCTTCTGGTCTTGAGTGTGCGTAGGAAAAAGCAAGGAATCAGAGGATGGATGAAAACTGGTTAAAAATGGGGCTGCAGGGGATGTGGACTGGGGCTTTTGGGGAACAGATGGGACATTCGGTCCCTTCCCTGGCTTATAGAGTCCTCTGCAATCATAGAATCGCTTGGGTTGGAAAAGACCTTTAAGATCATCGAGTCCAACCATCAACCCAACTCCACCATTAAATCATTTAGGAACATGGTCCAGTGGTGAACTTGGGGTCAATGGTTTGACTTGATGATCATAAAGGTCTTTTCCAATCCAAACCATTCAATGACACCGCATCAACAGATTCTTTAAATACCTCCATGAGTACTCCACCAACGCTCTACCATTGTGTGGAGCTTGGTTTTCCCAGATTTTAATGCTCGGGACCCATTTAAGTCCATCTTAAAGATGAGCAAAATCCTCCTGTCCCTCACCGCTGCTTACCGATGGCTTCCCAACCAAACCTGATTGATTTTCCTTCCCATCCTTGTGCCGCGCATCCCCTTTTTGACTCTCCTCACCCCTCTCCCAAGGTGGCCCGGCGATGGGGCAAGAGGAAAAACAAGCCCAAGATGAACTACGAGAAGCTGAGCCGCGGCTTGCGCTACTACTACGACAAGAACATCATCCACAAGACGGCCGGCAAGCGCTACGTCTACCGCTTCGTCTGCGACCTGCAGAGCCTGCTGGGCTACGCGCCCGAGGAGCTCCACGCCATGCTGGACGTCAAGCCCGACGCCGACGAGTGAAGGTCATTTTTGAGGAGCCCACCAGACTTTTGCTGGTTTCTTTTGGGTTTTATTTCGCTGTTATTTTCCTTCTGTTTGTCAAGAGCGACTCAGATTTGATGCTTTCAGGATGGTTGGGAGAGAGGGTGGCGGAAGAGGCAACGTTTTGGCCGAAACTTAAAAAGTTTGGTTCGGAGAAGGATGGGCTTTTGTAATTTTTGTTTTCGGAAAGCTCCAAGACAGGCATTTTGGGGTGAAATTCTGAGTTTTAAGAAAGCCAGAAAAATGTAGCTCACTTCCAAAAAAAAAACAACCAACCAAACACGCAACGCCCTCCCCATCCCTCGCTGTTTAGAAAAAAATATTATCGGAGATTCGGTTTTTGTGTTATCCGCACACAAACTGACCGTTCAGGAAGTGACAATATTCCCGAGGATTTTGGGGTTTGAAACGCTTTGTTGGGGGCGGGGAGGGGAAACCGAAGTGGGTGAAAAATTCCTACGTTTGGGAGGAAAAATAACCCAAGAACTGGTTCTTGTAACATCGCCTTTCTGTTGGTTGTCGTCTTTTCTCCAAAAGGCAGGAATTTTTACTAGGACGGATCAAGACTTTTTTCCTAAAATTTCGTTAAAAGTTTTATTTTATTAAATTTTGTGCCAGTATTTTTTTTTTTATTTTTAATTTTTTTTTTTTTTTAAATAGTCTTAAGCTCTAAGATGGTCTCAGTATTGCAATATTGCGCCGTGTTATGCCAGCAGAGAGGTTTTTAGCACAGTGAGGAAAAAAAAAAAGAGAAGAAAAAAAGAGGAATTAAGTTCATGTAGACCCCGCTGGAGAAGTGTAGCGCTACGGCTCGGCATCTCCGAATCGTATGTGAAGGAAAACTATCCAAAAATCAACCCCAAACTGGCTCCTAATGATGCCGCTCTTGCTTCCAGCCCCACACGCTTTGCTCCGCCGGTTGCTGATAAAGCTGGTTGAAATTTCCGCTTTTTTTGGCTATCATTGAAAAAAACGGGACCTTTTTATGCATGAAACCTCTCAAAATTTGCCAGGAAAATGACTTTTTGCATTTTCCGAGTAGTTTTTTTCGCTCAAAGGAACTGTTTGGTGCTTTCAGGAAACCTGGTGGGTTTTTTTTTTTCTTGAGGGGAAAAGGGGAGAAATTGCCGTGTTTTGAACGTGGTAAATAGGAAATATAGACGTTGACTTGGGGGGTGAAAAAAAAATCAGGATAAAATGGAAAAAGCAAAGGGAAATGTTGTTTCCTTCCTGTTTCAACCAGCTCTATCGTTATTTGACCTTGGAGCTGGATCTGTGCGGATCCGACTGCTGAAATGGGGTCTTTTGCCCTAGAGCCGCTGGGTGTTTTCTTTTTAAAGGCAGTATTAGGTATTTGAAGCCAAAATTCCTTATTTTTGTGGTGTTTCTCTGTCTGTCCGTGGGTTTTGGGTGGTTGTGGTCGTTACAGGGGCACTGCGAGACACAAATAGGGGTTGAGGTGATGCGAGGCTTTGCGGGTGATGCGGGACAGGATTCTGCATGCAAAAAACCCCAAATATTTGGGCACATAACCCCAGTTTGGGCACTCAGCACCTCTGTATCCCCGGTTGGTCATTTTGGGGCAAATCAGCCCCAAAACTGCTGCGTGCTTCAAAGAAAAAGTGATATTGGAAGGGAAATGAGCGGACCAAGAGGGAGCTCCAGCCGAGGAGATGGAGGCAGATGTGGTTTAGTTAGGGAAAGGAAAGGGCAGAAAGGAAGGAAAAAGGGATGGAGGGGAGGTGGAATTTGGAAAGGGAGGTTAAACCTCAGCACATCTCCTCGGATGGACACGACGGATGGGAGAAAGCAGCTTGGAGAGGGGAAAGGGAAGCGTAGATATCATGGAGGAGGGGTCCCCATCGCCACGGCTGAAAAGGGAGGCGACTGGGTTGGATTTTCAGGAAAGGGCAGAAAGGAAGGAAAAAGGGATGGAGGGGAGGTGGAATTTGGAAAGGGAGGTTAAACCTCAGCACATCTCCTCGGATGGACACGACGGATGGGAGAAAGCAGCTTGGAGAGGGGAAAGGGAAGCGTAGATATCATGGAGGAGGGGTCCCCATCGCCACGGCTGAAAAGGGAGGCGACTGGGTTGGATTTTCAGCCAGTTTTCAGCCATTTGGGGTTGCAAAGTGCCCTTAGCTCACCCATCGTGGTCCGCTGCGATCGTTGCTTTGACAAAATGCCCCTTAAATAAGGGGTGCTGCAGGAGGCCCCGTCTCCTGCCCCAGGACACCTCTCCCTCCCTGCAGGGATGCTCCATTGCAGCCAAAGTGCCTTTTTCAAGCAGAAAACAGGGATCAAATTGCCCTCGGATGGACGGGACCGCAGGTTCGGGTACCAGCACCAGGGGGACAAGGGCCGTGCAGTCCTAGGGACATCAGGTTCATAATTTCCTATTTTCCTTTTCGATGGGAATAAATCCTAGAGGCCATCCCAGAGCGGGCTGTGTGCTGTTTATACACTGGAAAATTGCAGATTTGTTTTTATTTCTTCTTTGTTTTAGTTCCTTTTCTTTCTGCTCTTTAACGACCTGTTGACTTTTCAGGGAGGGATGCGCTGGAACCCAAACCCTCTGCCCTGAAAATGTGGTTACCCCATGGGTGCTGGAGCAGAAGGATGGGTTTGAGGGGGCTGATGGAGATCTGGCTCCAGTTTTTTGTGTGGGGTTTTTTTTGGAAATTGGGTCATTTGGTCTCATTTTGGGATGTCTCAGGTGCATTTGGTGATGTTTTTTTGGGATATTTTCGGGATATTTGCTGTGTTCTGCTCATGATCTGCTCCTCTCCATCTCCCCTTAACCTGAGCCCTCCCTTGGGAGCTTCACTCTGGCCAATGCCTTTCCAAGGCCTTGCAGTCGATATTGGGACCTCAGTAAAAGGAAAAAAAAACCCAGAAACTAGATGAAAAATGCACTTTTTCTCCTCTGTGTGTGTGCAAATATAAATCCATTTTATTTCCACGCTCCAGAAGTGATGGTTCAGGTGGAGAAACAGCCAAAACAGGACAAGAAATAGAAGATACTTATCATTGAACCTGTTTTAATCCAAAAAAAAGGTCCCGGTAAGCACCGCTAAATTCAGAAATGTCTCCCATCTTCTGATTTTTTGCTTTTCGGGAGGGTTTTTCTGCGAGGTTTTAGGGCTTTGTTGCTTATTTCTTGCTAACGTCACAGCATTGGGATGCCTTGGCGTGCTCTGCGCTCCGGTAGGGTCTATATAACATCCGTGAGCTGTCGTCTACATTCCAAAGAGGTTTAAATAAATGATAAAATCTATGTATTACGTATATGTTATAATGGGATATCTCCAGGAATTAACTGCCTCAGTTTAAAGGAAAAAAAAAAAGGAAAAAAAAAAAGGAAAAAAAAGTCATTTTTTTATGTTCGTTTTGTGTTTTTTACGGGATTTTTTTGAAGCTGATAAACATAGAAGAAGAAGAAGAAGAAAAAAGAAAAGAGATTGTTATATTGTGCCGTTCGACTATTTTCCAACTTGTATTTTCATATAATTTATATTTTTTAAAAGTGGGGGGGGGGGGAGGGGGGGGGGACAAAAAACACACAAAAAAAATAATAATAAAAAAAAAATGAAATAAAAAGCGGGATTAAAAAAAATTTCCAAAAAAAATTTCCAAAAAAAAAAAAATCGAGTTAAAAAAGCAGGTGCTTTTTCAATCAAACCTGAGCTGAGGTAGCTTAGAGATGTAGCGATGTGTGTGTGTGTGTGTGTGTGTGTGTGTGTCCCCGTGTGTTGTATTTTGTCTTATGTTCGGGTTGTTTTGTTGTTTGGTTTTTTTTTTTTAAAAAAAAAAGGATGCAAAAGAAAAAGAAAACCCCCTCCTGACATCGAATTCTTAACGGAGGAGGGGGATCGGTTTCGTTTTAATTGCTGATGCTGGCACATCATTTTGCTGGAGAGTTTTTTATATACTGTAGCCTTATTTCATATCGTATTTTAAACCATGTGAAATTAAAAGAAGAATAATTCCTAAGCCTCGGTGTCGGCGTGCTTCTTCATTGCTGAAATGTGGGGAGCAAAGGGGAAAAACCGGTGGTAAAACTTAAAAAAATCCCAGGAAATCCTGTCTTTTTCTTTAATTATTAAAGAAAATTGTGTGGTTATCGGGGAGGAGGAAGATGCTGCACAGTTCCCTATTGCTTTGGACCAGGACATGGGGATGTCAAATGCAGGGTTTCCAACTCATCCCAAAGCAGCACTGGGAGCGTGGGATATCTGTGATTTACTGCCCTAAATGACATTTTTGGGTGTATTTACTTGGAAATAGGTGTAGCCAACCCATAAAGACCTTGCCATAGCATGAAGATGCTGCTGGCTGTTTCTC